TTTTTTTTTTGGTCCACCTGGGTTATTTCAAAAAGACTGTCTTCAAGATCAGAATTTTTTTCTTCTGCTTTTTCTAGCCTGCTGCTTAAGCTCCCAGTTGTGTTTTTTATTTTATTGAATGAATCCTTCAGTTCTAGGAGTTCTGCTACATTCTTTTTTAAGGTATTAATCTCTGTAAATTTCCTCCTTCACATCCTGGGTAGTTTTTCTCATTTTGTTGTGTCATTTAGCTAAATATTCTTGTATCTCCTTGAGTTCCCCTAAGATTGTTGCTTGGAATTCCTTTTCAGTCATTTCCAGAGTTTCCTGTTCCATGGGGTCGGGTACTTGAGAATTATTGTGTTCCTTTGGTGGTGTCATATTCTCTTGTTTTTCTCATATTTCTATTATCTCTATGCTGATGTCTGGTCATCTGGTAGAGCAGTTGCTTTTTCTGTTACTCTGGACTGGGCTTTGAGGAGAGAGGCTTCCTCCTGTAGATGCATTTTATATTGACCATTGAGTAGGGTGTTTTAGTATTGGTTCCAAGTAGATGCAGTAGTGTAGTCTCCATGTCCATATTCAATGTTGGAGCTGCATGTGAGTGCCTCAGTGGCCTAGGCACTGGGGCAGTTAGTGATTCCTTACTGTGTTGGGTTGTTGAGGACATGAGTGAGCTCTTGAGTTCTTGGGAGAAGTTACTGAGTGCCCTGTCACTCTTTGGCTGGGCTGGGAGACCCTTGGTAGGCTTGTTGGCACCCCAGCTAGAGTCTTGTGACTTTGATGGGTGCACTGGGGTATACTGGAGTGCCTCAATTTGAATGGGTAACCCTGGATGGGGTTTCTCTTTCCTCTTTCCTACAGGCAGAGACTCTTCCTGCATCCTTGCTTCCTCCAACTGGGGGAGGTGTTGGTGGTGGGTGAGAATTTTCTTCATTACTCTATTTGGCTATCCTGGGTTTCTGCACNAATCTTTCCTTCTGATGGAAGCATTTAGTGCAATAAGCTTCCATCTTAATACTGCTTTTGCGGTATCCCACAGGTGTTAGTATGACATGTCTTTATTTTCAGTGACTACAAGAAATTTTTTGATTTCCTGCTTAGTTTTTTCTTGGACCATTCAGGAGTGTGTTGTTTAATTTCCTTGTATTTGTATAGTTTCAAGAGTTTTGCTTTTTATTAATTTATAGTTTTAATCTGTTTGGTCTTAAAAGATACTTGAAATGATTTTACTTTTTAAAAATTTGTTGAGACTTGATTTGTGACCTAACATGTGGTCTGTCCTGGTGAGTGTTCCATGTGCTGATTAGAAGAATGTGTATTCTATAGTTGTTGGATGAAATGTTCTATATATATCTGCCAAGTCCAATTGGTTTAATGTGTATTTTAAATCCTGTGTTTTTCTATTGATTTGTTGCCTAGATGATCTGTCCAGTGGTCAGAGGGGTGTCGAGGTCCCCAATTATTATTGTACTGGGGTCTGTCTCTTTCTTTAGGTCTAATAGCATTTGCTTTGTATATTTAGATACATATATGTTTATGATTGTTATGTCTTCTTGCTGGGTAGATCCTTTTATCGTTATACAGTGGCCTCCTTTGTCTCTTTATATGGTTTTTTGTTTAAAGTCTATTTTATCTGATATAAAAATAGCTACTCCTGCTCATTTTTGGTTTCCATTTGTATGGCATATCTCTTTCCATCCCTTCACTATTAGTCTCTGTGTGTCTATACAGGTGTATTGAGTCTATTGTAGACAGCATATAGTTGGGTCTAGCTTTTTCATCCAATCAATCAGTCTGGGTCTTTTGAGTGGGGAATTTAATCCATTTACATTTAGGGTTGTTATTGAAAGGTATTACCTTCTTGGTATTTTACTGATTTTTGGTTAAATGTTTTAAATATCTTTTGTTCCTTTCTTCCCCTTTTATTGTTTGTCTTCAGTGTTTGTTGGTGTTTTGAAGTCATAAGATATAGTTTCTTTCTTGTTTGCATTTTGTTCTACCAGTGGGTTTTTGTATTAGTCCATTTCTGTTGCTTATAACAAAATACTTGGAAGTGGGTAATATGTAAGATAACAAAATTTATTCCTCACACTTTTGGAGGCTGGGAAGTCAAAAGTCCAGGGAATACATGTGGAAGGCTTTGGTGGTGACTTCAGTAATGGCAGGGTATCACATTGTGAAATGGTGGAGCAGAGACAGAAAAACTCTTCATGTTCTTTCCTTTGAAAGCCCACAGAACCACACCCCTGACCACCATTATTAATCCATTCACTAGGCATGGTCCTACAATCTAATCACTTCTTCAAGGTCTCACCTTTCAATTACCATAATAGGATTTCCTACCCTCAACAGTTATAGTGGGGATTAAGTTGGGGGTGGGGGGGACATTCAACACAAGGTAGTTTTATTCTTTCTTGAGTATTCCTGGTGGTGGTTATCATTTTTTGGAGTCCAGATGCAGGATTCCTTTGAGGATTTCTTGTAGGGCTGGTCATGTGGTGGTAAGTTCTCTTAGTTTTTGATTGTCTGGGAAATACACTATTTCCTTCATTTCTAAAGGATAACCTTGCTGGGTATAGTATTCTTGGGTGGTGGGGGGTTTTTTCTTTTAGTGTTTTGAATATATCATTCCACTCTCTTCTGGAATGTAGAATTTCTATTGAGAAGTCTGCCATTAGTCTGATAGGGCTTCTCTTATAGGTGACTTGATGCTTTTCTTTTGCTGTTTTTTGGAGTTTCTCTTTGTTTTTGAGTTTTACCAGTTTGACTGTAATGTGTCTCAGAGAGGACTTTTTGAATTGAATCTGTTTGGGGATCTTTGAGCTTCCTGGTTCTGAAGGTCCATGTCTCTCCCTACCTGGGAAGTTTTCCACTATTATTTTGTTGAATATGTTTTCAATGCCTTTTCCTTTCTTCTTTCCTCCCAGAATACCCATGATTTGGATATTTGTGTGCTTAATGTTATCTGCTAGCTCTCTTAGGTTTTCTTCATTTTTAAAAAATTCTTTTTTTTTTTTTTTTTTGGTCCACCTGGGTTATTTCAAAAAGACTGTCTTCAAGATCAGAATTTTTTTCTTCTGCTTTTTCTAGCCTGCTGCTTAAGCTCCCAGTTGTGTTTTTTATTTTATTGAATGAATCCTTCAGTTCTAGGAGTTCTGCTACATTCTTTTTTAAGGTATTAATCTCTGTAAATTTCCTCCTTCACATCCTGGGTAGTTTTTCTCATTTTGTTGTGTCATTTAGCTAAATATTCTTGTATCTCCTTGAGTTCCCCTAAGATTGTTGCTTGGAATTCCTTTTCAGTCATTTCCAGAGTTTCCTGTTCCATGGGGTCGGGTACTTGAGAATTATTGTGTTCCTTTGGTGGTGTCATATTCTCTTGTTTTTCTCATATTTCTATTATCTCTATGCTGATGTCTGGTCATCTGGTAGAGCAGTTGCTTTTTCTGTTACTCTGGACTGGGCTTTGAGGAGAGAGGCTTCCTCCTGTAGATGCATTTTATATTGACCATTGAGTAGGGTGTTTTAGTATTGGTTCCAAGTAGATGCAGTAGTGTAGTCTCCATGTCCATATTCAATGTTGGAGCTGCATGTGAGTGCCTCTGTGGCCTAGGCGCTGGGGCAGTTAGTGATTCCTTACTGTGTTGGGTTGTTGAGGACATGAGTGAGCTCTTGAGTTCTTGGGAGAAGTTACTGAGTGCCCTGTCACTCTTTGGCTGGGCTGGGAGACCCTTGGTAGGCTTGTTGGCACCCCAGCTAGAGTCTTGTGACTTTGATGGGTGCACTGGGGTATACTGGAGTGCCTCAATTTGAATGGGTGACCCTGGACCCATCCAAATGGGTCTCTTTCCTCTTTCCTACAGGCAGAGACTCTTCCTGCATCCTTGCTTCCTCCAACTGGGGGATGTGTTGGTGGTGGGTGAGAATTTTCTTCATTACTCTATTTGGCTATCCTGGGTTTCTGCACTAACCCTGGATGGGGTTTCTCTTTCCTCTTTCCTACAGGCAGAGACTCTTCCTGCATCCTTGCTTCCTCCAACTGGGGGAGGTGTTGGTGGTGGGTGAGAATTTTCTTCATTACTCTATTTGGCTATCCTGGGTTTCTGCACTCTCTGGGGATTCTGCATGTGTCTCTCCCTGGATCAAGGCAGTTGTATGGGCTGTGCATATACCTCTCACCCCCACATGCACTACCTTGGGGGATGGGGGCAGCGTAATTCACTCTGTGTGTTGAGCCACTGGGTTGTGGGTCTGTGTTCACTCAGTTCGTTCCCCAGGCTCCACTGGTTACCCTCCTTTGGTCAATGCAGTTTAGTGGTGGTGGGCTGCCCTTGCAGCAGTGGTGGCTGTGGTAGTGTCTGTGCATGGCAGTGGTGTCTGCAGTAGTAGTGGGCTGCCTGTGCAATGGGCACTTTGCACTCTTGCTTGCTGTATTCATGGTCTGCCCTTGGCTCCTGCGGTCCCCATGCTGCTGCCTCAAAACACTGCTTCTTGATTATAACCACAACAAAAAATTTTGAGCCAGAAAGCACCTTAGTTTTTTATTTGAAAGTCCATCTTTCTAAAAGTTATGCAAGTTGTTTCTCTCTGCCTCCTTCTGTCTACCCTGTCTTCCTTTATATTCATTCATTCATTCACTCATTTAATTAGTCATCAATTCCTTCATCAGACTTAGAATGAGTGCCTACTATTAGGAGATGAAAGAACATGGTTCAGATGGAGGGCTTTGGAGCCAGACTCTCTGGATTTGAATCATAGCTCTACTACTCACTAGCTATGTATTCCTGAGCAACTTACTTCACCTCATCATGCCTTGGGTTCTCAGTAATAAGTTGAGGATAATAATAATACCTACCTCAGTGTTTGTATGCAGATTAAATGAATTAATACCAAAAAAACTCTTAGAATACTTTTAGCATGTTGCAAATGTTACCTGATATAGTCAGAGTTCTTCAGAGAAACAGAACAAAATGGAGGAGGGGGTATATATTTATTATAAGCAATTGGCTTATGCAATTATGGAGGCTGAGAAGTACCAGATCTGCAGTCAGAAAGCTGGAGGCCCAGGAGAGCCTATGGTGTTGTTCCAGTCTGAGTCTAAAGGTTTGAGACCCAAGAAGATCATATTTCAGTTTTCAGCTGGAAGATAGGAAAAGACTGCTCAAGCAGTCAGACAGGAGGAGTTCCCTCTTATTTGTAGGAGGGTTAGCTTTTTTGTTCTACTCAGGACTTCAGTTGATTGGATGAGAGCCACCCACATTAGAGAGAGCAATCTGCATTATTCAATCTATTTATTCATATGTTAAGCACATTGAAAAACACCCTCACAGACACACCCAGAGTAATGTCTGACCAAATCTGGTCAACCCATCAATAGCCAAGGGTTGCCACTGCTGGAATGAGCAGATTGTATCTATTATTCAGCTGGAATGTCCCCAACTGAATGTCTCTCAGGCTGCTTTTTGCCAGGCTGGTGGCTTGGAAGCTTCCTTGCCTACTAATTTATCATTTGGATTTGCTCTTGGTGCTTCGTCTATTTTGGCTTCTATTTCATCTCACCTCATTTTATCAAACAGTATTCTTACTTAGGCTAGCACTGACCGACTCTTCCTCTTTTCCAGTGTTTGTTACCTGCACAGTGTCCTTAAGAGGAAAAAAAAAGCCTTCTTATTGGAGTCCCTACTTTTATAATGCTTAAATCTCATTATTCTGTCTTGCTCAAGTTGGGAACTTAATAAGCCTTTTAGC